ACACACACACACACACACACACACACACACACACACACACACACACACAGAAGTAAAAGTAAATCTCTGAGCTCAAGAGCCCCTTCCAGCCCAATTCTCCCAGGTTCCTTGCAGTTCTACATTTTCTGATTCTCTGCCAAGACTGTCAGAATTAGAAAATGTCTTCGGAATTTTAAGTATATGAAAGCTTTAGCCTTGTTTCCAGTGCTACTTGAGAAATTTAATCAGATTTTGAAGACACTAACAGAACTCAAAATTAAAAGAAAAATTCTTAGAGGAGGGAGAGTAAGGAAGATGATAAAGTGACCAAGAACTCCCTGATTTATCAAGCATTTAATCTCTTTTTCTAGAGTGGTTCTGCTTGAGTGAGGTTCATCTCCAACTCTGGACTGCAGGGGCTGCCATCACTTTGGTCTTGGCATTTATGCTTGAGGTCTTGTCCTACATTGGCAGTGTGCAGCCTCAGTGGGGCAGTATCTCATGCAGTGTGTAGTGGAGGACTGTGAGCCTGGAATAGGGAGCTGGAAGTGCCGTGGCTCCTCCAAGAAAGGGCTATACAAACATAGGCTCATGTCACCTTTTTAAACCGTAGGTGATAAAGGTCTTCGAAAGCATCACTCTTGGACCACATGCTTTACTTTGTTGATGATGAAAGTGAATACCAAGCTCAGCTTTTGTCTGATCAGCTTTGGCAAACTCTCCCAATTTTGGTGCCACTTCTCCTTCTAGCTGACCCACTACCACTCTTCTAAGTACCCAGGGGCTTAAGAATAAAGAAATGATCTCGTGTCAGGCCACTGCAGATTGATACAAATTTCAGTCTCTAGATAGCAATTCTCCTAGGGGCATCCACGTTCTAAGCTTCAGTTCTAATTGTAGCAAAGGAATTATAAGCTTAATTACAAGCTTCACTGTCCAGCAAGTGATGGTGGTTGGGAAGGAGGGGGGAAGGGGATCTCTTGCCAGCTGCACATGGGGGTACCCAGGGCTTCCCGTGAATCAGCCCCTGTACATGACACCGCTGACTTCTAAGTAGGGCTGAGGGATGGGGAACTCTCAGAATTACGTAAGTCATCAGTACAGGATATACGTCACACCTACACAAAACACACACATATATGTATGATCAGCTGAATGTGGGATGGCTCATTACTGTCTGGATTATAATACGCCACTGGTCAAATTCTGATCCCAAAATGTCACCTCTAGGCCGAGTAACCACTTGCTGTAACAATTAAGTCCTGTCCTCCCTCCCTCACAGGGGGCTCCTTGTACTTGGAGAATGGGCTCAGGAATCAGCCGCGCATGTAAAGGAGTCTCTACAGTGCCATCAGTTCTTACTGTGGGACTTGCAGGAGGGGAGCTGGGAGAAGAGGCCATGTCTGTACAACACCAACACGACCAGTTAATTTGATCACTCAAAAAACAGATTGGTGGCAGTTTATAGATACATAAGCTATTTGCCTTATATATTTAGTAAGACTGAGCTCTTGGACCTCCAATTTAGGCAGGTAACTAGACCATGATACCAGAATTCTACCTTCACTCGTTCCTTTCCGAGGAAGAAGGCAGTGGCATGCAGGACATCGGCGGCATGGGTGGAGTTATGGTAGGCATTGGAAGAGTGGTAGTTGGCTTCAATCACTTGGAGCCAGGCTCGAAGAGTCGTTTCAGAGCAGTGTAAAAATTCACAGACTCCAAACCGAGAAAATACCTTTAAGCCCAGGTAAACCAATGGCCTGGAAAACAGGAAAACAAACCCTGACTCATTGTATTCACTGGTCTGGAAACTGCTTTCTTTGATGAGACTGGGGAATAGAGGCATTTTTCTTTAGACGTTTTTACTTCACATGCGCAAGGGCATAAGGATATCTCCTCCCCAAATCAGAAGGAGAGAGAATATCAGTCACCTCTTTACAACTAGGTGCCTCATGGCGATCAGTACATATGATTTCTAGATTGTCTTTAAGTCATATAGCCTTCAGTGGTTCCAGCAACCAAGACAGATCCCTGATAGTCCTTCCCCATCTCTACTTCCATATAAGCTCTGCACTTCCTCTGTGTCCCCTCAGGAAGTTACTGAGCCTAAGAACAGTCGTCTCTGCAAAGTCCTATCATTTACAACCACATTACTTATGTACAGGTGAGAATCATTCACATCCTCTACACCAATAGCCCCAGAAGAAAGCCGCCTCCTACTATAGAAGAGGCCTGAGTTATTTAATTACTCCCCTGCCTCCCAGATAGATCCAAAGTCAAGTCTGTAGTGCTCTCAAACTCATTTTGTAAGGTGGAGCTTCAACAGTTTGGGGCTGAGAGTACTTGGAACTCTTGGCTCACTAGCACGAAGGAATGACCTGGATAAATCCGAAAAGGACACGTAGTAAGTCCTCATCCTTGGTCATCACCAGGCTAATCCCACATCTTACCACCCTTACCACCTCTGACTCCATAAAGGAGCTCACTCAGGGGCCACAGTGTCTCTGCTTGTTTGACATTCCAGTATGGCATGACAGGTAGAACCTGTGAAGTTTCTTGTGGCAAGAACTCACGTCTCCCTCAAAGTTTCCAGATGTGAAAGTCTTGAGTGTGGCCATCAATCTTTCCCCACCTGCAGCCAGAGAAGCTACATACCTTTTATGTGTAACAGCTTCCAATTCAAAGATGTTGAACTCCCAACTTTCCTCATTATCAAGTAATCGAGCGATACAAGGGGGGACATCGTTGATGGTTATTGGCATCGCAAGGTGACTGTGACTCTGGTGCACATCTGAGCAAACAGATGGGGGTGGGGAGGCTGGTTAATTGTGGAATCTTGAGTGCCCCTGAGCATCTGTCATCATCTTCATGGTTGCTACTAGAAAGGAAGTCTTGAACTTCTAAGGGTAGGAAGATTTTTCACTTCAGGGTTCTCTTACATTATGAAACTTCCAGATCCCCCAACAGAAAATAAGAGTAAAAAAATCATCCCATTTAACTGTTTAAATGCACAGAGATGTGCAATTCTTAGTGCTCAAAGAAGTAATATTTTAATGAGGAGACCTGGTTTCAAATGCAGACCACAGAGACCATGAACTCCAATGAGACCAACAGAAAGTAACACCAACACCCTCCCCAAACAATAATCCCAACATGGGGCAAGGCACAGGTTGGAGACTGGCCATCACCATAATGTGGAGAGATGATAACTTACTCTTAGTGAACACATACTCGTTTCCTGACAACCTTCTCAAGCCATCCTGGAATAAAGAAAGCCACTATTAGAAGCGTGCTTTCCATGTTCTTAGCATTGTTCTCGTATTTATTCCATTAGCCTAAGAAACCTGCATCCTGAACAACCCAATCTGGAGCTCCAAGTTGAAGCTCAAAATTAGAACAATATCTACAAGACAGAGGATATTCTCCCTTCCACAACTATTAGCCCCAGGAGATGGAGAATTGAGAATAAAGTGGATAGACTTCATTCAGGTTTCACACCTGACCTCTGAGTTGCCTTCGTTCTCACTCCATCTTTGTCTTCTGGCATCTTGAAACCTCATTCGTGCAACTGCAGAAGGGTCCTGCTTTTGGATGTGGGTTATTTTGAAGCGACCCCCCCTTACCCTTATAGCGACTGTGTTATTCTTGTGTTCTTACGTTTACATATTGGGGGACCGAAGTCTTGGGTCACAATTTGGGAATGACAATGTAAAGATGTAAAAAGGGTGGGCTGATTTTTGACTAATACCTAATTTTTTTCCAACTCTATTTCTGTTTTGCAACACGGGCATTTGCAACTAGCCTTTAAAAGAAAAGTTTCTGGATTTGAGATATTTAGTGGGGGCAGCATAAGGGAGTGGAAAGAATTCCAATGATCTCCATATACTAGGCTCTTGAACTAGGACCCAGATGTTTCTGCATCTGTTTCCTTCCCTCTGCTTTCTACCCTTGAGTACCTAATTATTTAGATCTTTGCTTAAAAGTCATAATGGTCTCTGTAGAAAGTGTGTGCTAAGGTTTGAAGTATTAATGAAAAGGGGTGCTCTGGTGGCTCAGTCAGTTAAGCCTCCAACTCTTTTTTTTCCCCCTAAAGATTTTATTTATTTATTTGACAGAGAGATAGGGAGAGGCAGAAGCAGGCTCCCCATAGAGCAGGGAGCTGGACCCGGGGCTCAATCCCAGGACCGGGGGATCATGACCTGAGCTGAAGGCCGACGCTCAACTAAGCCACCCAGGTGCCCCAAGCCTCCAACTCTTGATTCCTTCTGCCCCTTCCCCCGTCACATGCTCCCCCCTCTTTAAAATAAATAAATACATAAATAAATCTTTAAAAACAATTAAAGTATTAATGAAGGGCTCTCCTGAAGTCACACCTTGGATCTTTAGGCCAAGGCCTTAATTTTTAAAACTCTATCAATAGGTAAATAACAGTGGCTACAACTGTCTTGCTGTAAGGAAGGTATCACAAGGTACTCCTGGGTTTTTTTGCCTTTCTTTTTCTGGTTCCCTAAAACCAAATAAAGGTAGGTAGAATCCTACACTGGTTCCTTACAGCCTTACCTGCAGAGGAGCCACGAGATGGTACGCCAATAGGGGGAAGGAGGACAGGTAACTGGGTTCCGAGAACCAGAATGCTCCCAATGCGACTCTACCGTGGCTGCCCCCCTGCAAGACTCCCGCCAGCCCTCTCCAGCACTGAGTCTACACTGCACTGCGATGGGACAACCCAGGCTGGCCCGGGGACAGGAAAGCAATGAGAGGTCACTCCAGTTACAGGTTCATTAAAGATCTTCAGCAGGAACAAGGAGAATGGACTACAAAGCCACTCAACCCAGCATTTGGTGACAGGGCTGGACAGAAATCTTCAAAGTAAAACACATAGATGAGTTTGTTTTCCTCCCAAAGAATTCTTCCAGTTTCAGCCTCCGATAAGGATTACAAATGAGTAACTTGAATTTTCTTTTTCTTCACTTGCTGATGGATGATGATTACCACCAAATCACAGCAAGACACAAGAACAGATGAGTCCTTAGACCTCAGCTGCTCTTGGTGGTTACAGATGGTGGCGGTATTGGCATGCTGGCAGGGGGAGGATCCCTCCTCCCCTCACCCTATGGATCCAGAACAGCTCAGCTCTGCCTTTATTGCATTGTAAAGGGAACTTCTGTATAAGCTTTGATTTAAAGAAAGGGTTCTCTAAGATTTTGGGAACTAGTGCTCAGTCTAAGTACAAACCCTTTCATGATATAAAGAGTCTGCAGTCCAAGGAAACCTAGCCATAACCCTCAATCCAGTACTGCCCCAGGTCAAGGGGAAGACGTGCATACTTCACCCTCAGTCAGCTGCCTACTACTCTTTACTGTAATGACGATTCTGCAGGACTGTCTCCCATTGCTGTGTTCAGTTACCTTCGTGGAAAGATAAATTCAAGAATTCCTTGAATTATACCACACATATAATACATAAATTTTGATGCAGATGCTTCTGGTTATGCTGACATTAGCCCACACGACTGGTGTTTCTGCATCCATAGGCACCAGTTTCTATGTTACATGTTCTGTGTACCCTGGAGGGCACTTCATGTCTCTCCCCTGCATTTCTGGGTTTTCCTCATCACTCACAGTCATCAGGCCTCCTACGAGATCACTGGTGTGGGGATCTTCATCTTTGGTACCCAGCTGAGGGGAATACAGTTCTGTGGTCCGTAAAATTTCTAGAACTCTGTCCAAGGCTTCTGCTACTGTAACGGGGCTGTTCTCTTGGGCTGCATTGATTATATTTATAACCTAAGGAAGTAAAGAGAGAAAGAATAAATTTGAGGATATTAGGATTCTAATTCCCAGAAGTTAAACGTATGCCTGGAAATGGTAAGAAATCAGATAGTAACACATTTTATTGTTCAAAATGACCCGTGTTCCCACACAACCGGTCCATTCTTCCTGCGGTGTGCCCCTCATCCTCCGTCTCCGGGTGGCGCTCCTACCCTGGAGAGCACGTTTCTTCCAGCTCCTTTGCTGAGCCTCCTCTAGCTCTCTTCTACAAGTTGGAGCTCCTCAGAGATTGGTGCTGAGCTCTCTCTCACTCCCCAGTCCTTCCAGAGATAAGCTATTTCCGTGATTTTGGACCCATATGATCCATATGTTAAGGACTCTCAAATTTACACCCCTGTCTCAACTCCTTTTGACCTTCAAGTTTGTATATTCAACTGCCTATCTGATGCATCTGTTGAAATGTCTTACTTACATGTCCAAAACTGAATTCATGATATTGCTCCCTTCTCCCCAAAGCAAGCAAGTGAACAAATGGAACAAAAAACTCAAAAACAAGAGCTCCTTCTCTGGTCTCTACACTGGAGCAAAAGAAAACAACACTTTTATCCACTTGTCCTCAAACCCAAAACCTGGGAGGCCCCAACTGACAAACAGCTTTCCCCATTTCTCTGTCCACTCTCCTAGTGTCACTCGTCACTGAGTTAAATGGATTCTACCCCTAAATATTTCTTCATCTATTCATTTCTATCTCCACTGCTTTAACTCTAGTCCAACTAACATCAGTTCGTGGCCTGGAATTCTGGAAAACCCCTACCCGGACTCTTCTCTTTCATTCTTGCCATTTCTAGTCCATTATCTTCATGGCAGCTGGGTGTTCTTTTTAATAAACATACTTGATCATGCCACTCCCCCACTTGAAACTCTTCAGTGGTTTATTCTGCACAGAACTAAAATATGAACACTTCTTGGCAGCTCCGTGTCACCATCTCCTCCCTGCTCTTCCCACCCCAGGTCTCCAAGCTCTAGCCACCCGCACTTCCTTTCAGGTCTTCAAATACTCCAATCCCCCTTCCTCATCTACTTGCTTCTTCCCTTGCTGTGCTTTCTGTCCACAATTCTCTTCTCCCACCTCTTCTAACACCCTCGCATGCTTCAGTTCTTACTTCAAACATTATTTCCTCTATAGAGAGCTCTCTCTGATCACCTCACCCAACGTAAATGGGCCGTAATTTAATTTTCTCCTAGAACCCTATTGTATTCCTTACTAATAGTCACTGCAATTTGTAACTACAAATTTATTTATTATGTATTTAATATCTGTTTCCCCTCCATGGTATTAGTAGTAAGTCACTCATCACTTTATTTCCAGAAGTTAACCCAGCGCTGGGCAACCCTGATTGCAGAGTGGAGGAGGGAGCTGCCACTCACCTTTGTGATGGGAGCCTCTATGGTCATGGAATGGATCCTTGCCATGGATGGATAGCGACGATTCTGTAGGCTTGGTGCTGAAGAGAATAAAGGAAGTTGTATCTGGTTCTGGTGGCTCAGCTTGGCTAAATGCACCAAAGGATCCCTTCATGGACTGGGGACCTGATTCTCATAGGAATGCTTCCCCACTGCCCTCAACAAAGCAAAGGATTTGCCCATCTTAATCCTAAAAGGCTCAGAGATCAGGCACTACTTGCCAAAGTCTAGAAACGGTGTTCTGGCCTGGAACCTCGATGATAGGCAGGTTTGAGGAGTCCCAGTTCCAAAAGGGAAATTTCAGAGAGGGTTAATGGGATCCTGAGGCCCCATCTCACTTTCCCATAAACTACTGAAGCCCAACTTGGGCAGTTCCTAACTTCAGTCCCCAGCTGTTGGTCATGTAAGCGGATAACTGCAGTGTGGGAGAGGAAGCAGGGGCCATGGTCAGGGTGGGCGCAGATGAGAGTCCACTCTCAGTAGTAATTAGGGCCAGACACTCGGCCTCCCTGAGCCTCTAGGTTCTTAACAGCCAGAATCCAGTGATGGTTCTAGCTCTAATCTATAGAAACTTTCATTTTAAATTCTAATTTTAAAATTTATTTTTTGTTATTTTTAAATTCCAATACAGTTTTAAAAAGTGTTCTATTAGTTTCGGGTATATAATATAGTGATTCAACAATTCTATACATTACTCAGCACTCATCATGGTAAGTGTGCTCTTTATCTCCATCACCTATTCACCCATCCCCCCACCAGCCAGCCTCCCATCTGGTAACCACCAGTTTGTTCTCTATAGATAAGAGTCTCTTTTCTGTTTTTTTGTTTTTTTGTGTGGGTTTTTTTGGCTTTATTTGCTTCTTACATTCCACATGAGTGAAATCATACAGTATTTGTCTTTCTGACTTATTTCACTTAGCATTATACTCTCCAGATCCATCTACGTGGTTGCAAACAGCTAGATTCCATGTTTTGTTATGATTGAGAAATACTACATTGTGTGTGTGTGTGTATTACATATTATATGTATATATTACATACAATATATATGACATCTTTTTTATTTTCTTACATTGTGTGTATATATATGTATATATTATATATGATATATACACAGTTACATTTAATATATACACATATATTACATATAATATATATACAGATATATATGTTACATCTTTTTTTATCCATTCACCTATCAATGGACACTTGGGCAGCTTCCATAATTTATCTATTGTAAATAATGCTGCAATAACCATAGGGGTGCATGTATCTTTTTATATCAGTGTTTTTGTATTCTATGCGTAAAGACCCAGTAGTGGAATTATTGGATCTAATGGTAATTCTTTGAGGAACCTCCATACTTTTTTCCATGGTGGCTGCATCAATCTGCATTCCCACCAACAGTGCACAAGGGTTCCTTTTTCTCCACATCCTCACCAACACTTGTTACTTCTCATGTTTCTGATTTTAGCCATTCTGACAGGTGTGAGGTGATATCTCATCATGGTTTTGATTTGCATTTCTCTGATGATAAGTGATGTTGAGCATCTTTTCATCTGTCTGTTGACCATCTGGATGTCTTCTCTGGATAAACGTCTTCATGTCTTCTGCCCATTTTAAATCAGATTATTTGTGGTTTTGTTGTTGAGTCGTATACTTTTTTTTATATATTTCGGATACTAATCTTTTATTGGATAGGTTCATTTGCAAACATTTTCTCCCATTCAGTAGGTTGTCTTTTAGTTTCTTGATTGTTCCTTTTCCTTTGCAAAAGCTTTTAATTTTGGTATAGTTCCAACAATTATTTTTGCTTTTATTTCCCTTGCCTGAGGAGACATATCTAGAAAAATGCTGCTATGGCCAATATCAGAGAAATTACTGCCTCTACTCTCTTCCAGGATTTTTATGGTTTGAGGTCTCACATCTCTGTTTTACCCATTTCAAGTCTGTGTGCATGGTGTGAGAAAGTGGTCCAGCTTCATTCTTTTTCATGTAGCTCTCCAGTTTCCCCAACACTATTTGTTGAAGAGACTGTCTTTTTCCCATTGCATATTCTTTCCTGCTTTATCAAAGATTAATTGACCATACAATTGTGGGTTTATTTCTGGGCTCTCTATTCTGTTCCATTGACTAATATATCTGTTTTTGTGCCAGTACCATACTACTTTGATTACCACAGCTTTGTAGTATACCTTGAAATCTGGGATTGTGATACTTCTAGGTTTGTTCTTTTTCAAGACTGCTTTGGCTATTTGGGGTCTTTTGTGGTTTCATACAAATTTTAGGATAATTTATTCTACTTCTGTGAAAAATGTTGCTGGTGTTTTGATAGGGATCGCATTAAATTTGTAGAATGCTTTGGTTAGTACAGACATTTTAATAATGTTTGTTCTCCCAATCCAGGAGTATGCAATATCTTTCCAGTCATTTGTGTCGTCTTAAATTTCTTTCATCACTGTTTATACTTTTCAGAGTACAGCAGATCTTTCACCTCCTTGGTTAAGTTCATTCTAGGTATTTTATTATTTTTGGTGCAATTGTAAATCGGATTGTTTTCCTACTTTCTCTTTCTGCTACTACATTAGTAGTGTATAGAAATGCAAAGGATTTAGGTACATTGGTTTTTTTTATCCTGTGACCTTACTGAATTCATTTATCAGTTCTAGTTTTTTGGTGGAGTCTTTAGGGTTTTTAGTATCATGTCATTTGCAAATAGTGAAAGTTTTACTTCTTCCTTACAAATTTGGATGCTTTTATTCCTTTTCTTATCTGATTGCTGTGGCTAGTATTTCCAGTACTAGGTTGAATGAAAGACAGTGGACATCCTTGTCCTGTTCCTGATTTTGGAGGAAAAAACTCTTTTTTGCATTGAGTATGTTGTTACCTGTGGGTTTCCTATATGGCCTTTATTATGTTGAGGTATGTTCATCATGAATGTAGGTTGTACTTTGTCAGATGCTTTTTTGAATCTATTGACATGATTATATGGTTTTTATCCTTCCTCTTGTTGATAATATCACACTGACTAATTTGGAAATATTGAACCTCCCCTTGCATCCCAGTAATAAATCCCACTTGATTGTCATGAATGATTTTTTAAACATACTGTTGAATTCATTTGCTAATGTTTTATTTGAGGATTTTTTTGCATCTAAGTTCATAAGAGATACTGGCCTGTAGTTCCCTTTTTTTTTTGTAGCATCTGTATCTGGTTTTGATATCAGGGTAATTCTCTCATAGAATGAATTTGGAAGCTTTCCTTCCTCTTCTATTTTTTTGGAATCATTTGAAAAGAATAGGTACTAACTCTTCTTTCTTTAAATGTTTGGTAGAATTTACCTGTGAAGCTGTCTGGCTTGAACTTTTGTTTGTTGGGAGTTTTTTGATTATTGATTCAGTTTCATGGCTGGTAACTGGTATGTTCAAAGTTTCTATTTCTTCCTGATTCAGTTTTGGGAGGTTCTATGTTTCTAGTAATTTACCCATGTCTTCTAGGCTGTCCAGTTTGTTGGCTTTTATTTATTTAATTATATATAAGCATATAATTTTTAATAATATTCTCTTATAATTGTATTTCTGTGGTGTTGGTTGTTACTGCTCTTTCATTTCTGATTTTGTTTTTTTAAATCTGGCTAGAGGCTTATCAATTTTGTTGATCTTTTCAAAGAATCATCTCCTGGTTTCACTTATTTTTTCTTTTTTAGTTTTCATTTATTTCTGCTCTAATCTATTATTTATTTCCTTCTACAGGTTTTGAGTTTGCTTTATTCTTTTTCTGACTCCTTTAGGTATAAGGTCAGGTTGTTTGAGATTTTGTTTTCTTGAGGTAATTCTGTATTGCTATAAATTTCCCTCTTAGAACTGTTTTTGCAGTACCTGAAGATTTTGGACCAGTTTTCATTTTCATGAAAACATGAAAATGTTTTCATTTTCATTTGTCTTCATGAATTTTCTCATTTCCTCTTTGATTCCTTAATGGACCCATTTGTTTTTTAGTAGCATGTTATTTAACTTCCATGTATTTATGTTCTTTTCAGCTTTTCTCATGTGGTTGATTTCTATTTTCAGAACTTGTGGTTGAAAAAGATGCATGGTACGTCTTGAATTTGTTGAGGTTTTGTTCCAATATCAATTGTGGCCTAATTGATGATCTTTTCTGGAGAATGTTCCATCTACACTTGAAAAGAATGTGTATTCTGCTGTTTTAGGATGTAATGTTTTGAATATATCTGTTAGATCAATCTGGTCCAGTGTGTCATTCAAAGCCACTGTTTCCTTATTGATTTTCTGCTTGGATCAGTCTATTGATGTAAGTGGGTTGTTAAAGTCCCCTACAATTACTGTATTACCATCAATTACTTCATGTTTGTTATTAACTGCTTTATTTATTTGGGTGCTCCCACGTTGGATGCATAATTATTTACAATTGTTCTATCTTCTTGTTGGATTGTTCCATTTATGAAATAGTATCTTTGTCTGTTATAGTCTTTGTTTTAAAGACTGTTTATTTCCTAATATAAGCATCCTTACCCCAGCTTTTTTTTTTTCACTTCCATTTGCATGATGAATGCTTTTCCATCCCTACACTTTCCATCTGCATGTGTCTTTAGGTCTGAAATGAATGTCTTATAGGCAGCATATAGATGGGCCTTGTTTTTTTATCCATTCCATAGCCTTATGTCATTTGCTTGGAGCGTTTAGTTCAAAATAATTATTTATAGATATGTACTTACTGCCATTTTGTTACTTGTTTTATGGTTCTTCTCTGTTCCTTTCTTCTCTTGCTCTCTTCTCTTATGGTTTGCTGCCTTTCATTAGTGATATACTTGAATTCCTTTTAATTTTTTTGCATATTACTGGGTTTTTTAAAAAGATTTATTTATTTAGGGAGAGAGAACATGAGCTGGGGGGGAGAGCAAAGGGAGAGAGAGAGTCACAAGCAGACTCCCCATTGAGCACAGAGCCTAAAGGGATGAAGGGGTGCTTTATCTCACGACCCTGAGATCATGACCTGAGCTGAAATCATGAGTCAGATACTTAACCAACTGAGCCACCCAGGTGCCCCCCTATTACTGGTTTTTGATTTGTGGTTACCATCAGGTTTATATGTAACATCTTATGCATATAGCAGTCTATATTAAGTTGATGGTCACTTACTATGAACCCATTCTTTACTCGTCTCCTCCACTCCCATGTTTTAGGTATATGGTGACATAAAGGTCACCATAAAAAGGTCAAGGAAATCTGAAAAACTTCTTACCATCACTGCCTCGAGATGATATCGATTTCACATCAATGGACTCTTTCCTTCTGTTCTTGTATCTGAATGAATGAGACTCTAAGGATTTCAAGTTAGTAATAGAAAGTGAATAGTTTTCAGCTTATTTACAGGTGAAATTTAGACCCCCCACATTATCTAAAGAAAACGAGGTTCCTTTTAAACACTACAAAATATTCTCAACAGCAAACCACTTTTTCTTCAAATCATCAACACAAAATCATCAGTCATATTAATTGTAAAATGATACTCTTTTCTTGTGTCATCCCATTATATCATGGTAATAGGGCTTATTACCAAGGGCTTTTTATTTCCATTAATAAAGTACTTTTTAAAAAATAAACATCAAAAGGGATGCCTGGATGGCTCAGTAGGTTAAGCATCTGACTCTTGATTTTGACTCAGGTCATGATCTCAGGGTCATGAGATCCAGCCCTGCATTGGGCTCTGCACTCAGTGGGGAGTCTGCTTGAGATTCTTTCCCTCTGCCCCACCCCCTGCTTGCACATGCGCATGTGTGCTTGCTCTTTCTCCCTAAGATAAATAAATAAATCTTTAAAAATATAAACATTAAAAATTGGGGTAAATTTGGGAGGTTCATTTCAACCTGAAGGACAGTACATGTAACTGGGTGGGGAAGGCTTTTACGGGGCTTCTGCAGAAATAAAATACTAGTGAAATGCACAGAAAATTGAATTTCTTTGAGAAACTAATATGGAATAATTTTAGGCCCCTCCAGATGGTCTTCTAGGTTCTCCTGAGGATGTCATTTCATCAAATGAGACCTACTGCCAGTGCCAGGAAGGAAGAGAAGAAAAGGCACGTTTTTAATCCCAATAATTTCCACAACTTAACTCTCGCTTTTGTCCCTATTTTCTGAGGGTGTGGGGGGGAAGCACTTAAATTCTGCCTAAGTCTTTGCTGACTTTGAATTTACCACTCAGAATGTGCTGATCCAACACTGAAGTTAATCCAAGATTGAAGCACATAGTGCACTCTACCGGTCAGGACCCAGAGATCAAAATGTCAGGGCAGCAGAGCTGGCTTCAAAAACATGCATTTGCAGGAGGGCATTGGATGCTTATGGAGTAATGCAGTGGTAAGGAGAGAAACTTAATCCTAACAGAACTCCTTCTTACTGGGCTAAGACAAGAGCAGACATGCAGGTTCCAGCAGGGAGAATGCATTTCTCAGACACCAATATTCCAAGAAAGAAAAAAAATTCCAGTGTTCATATTCCAAGAAAGAAAAAAAAAGATGCAATAATGCTCTTTTAAGAATTGTCTATTAGCACCAAAAAAGGTATAAGAGAGAACAGTAAAGAATAAGCTCCAGAGCCCAACTGCTAAAGTTCAAGTCTCCACCATGCCAATCATTGACTAGCTGTGTAACCTTGGGAATGTTATTTCTCTGTGTCTCAATATCTATATCGAGTGGAGATAGTCACAGCCTCTCATTCCCAGGCTGTTGGGAGACGTAAATGAGTGAATCCATGGTAGCAGCTAGCACAGTGCCTGCTACACAGTAAGTATGTAGTTCATGCTGGCTGAGAATATTAATTACATCTGTTCATTTGCAAATGTACCTTCTTTCTAGGCACAAGTGGGATCATGGTACAGTACTGGTTTTTTTGCTGTTTTCACTCAAAATATGTCTTAAATACTTTTCTGGATCACCTTTTTAACCATTTACTTTAGTGTTCTAAGAAATCTGATTCAATAAAAAAAATTTAATCAATAACCAAACTTGAATTATACATTTATACAGCAGAAAGTAAAAAAGCAGAACTATTATGAAGTTGATCTGAACACCATAACCATATAGCCTTGTCTTAAATGATATAGCTTAAAATAATTACACTGTCCCTTTGCCTCATTTTGTCTTCCAGATTCTGCCTTAATAATTTTCCTGGCCTTGGATAGGAGTTTCAGTGTTTATAAAGACAGCTATGGGTAGTGGTACTTTAAATGACATTTTTAGGATCATATGGCATCTTTTAAACCCTGAAAAACTAACAGTGGTCACTTGCAAGACAATTCTTTAAGTCCTCTTCAGGGACTTAATAATCTCACATTCCTAACACTCATTTATCACATAATAAATTAAATCTAACTTAATAAAGATTTAAGATTACATTCAAGATTAAAAAAAAAACCTCAAGAATTCCTCAAAATTTAGTTTCTAAATAAAACTGAAATAGGGAAGTTAGTCTCATGGCTGGCTGAATTCTAAATCATTCACTAGAAATTATTCAAAGATATCTAATGCTTATTCTTCCTGATTTTATCTCAGCTAAAATTAAGAGAATATAGCAATAGAAATTATTAAAAGTTTGGAGAAATTATCCTTCAATAAAGGCCACTTAAATCAAATGATTCATTATTCATTCTCTCAACAGATGCTTGTGGAATGAATTTAAAAACCAGAGAAAATAAGGATAAAGGAGATTTAAATAAATTTATTCAATGACAAAAAGGGATATAATATCAACAATTTTTTAAAATATAGCTAACATTTACTGAGCACCTACTCTGCACCAGACATTGTGTTCCAATGTTAAAGTATAGAAATTTTCTTATATGATCATTACAATTCTGAAAGCTACATAGTGTGATCCTCATTTTACCAGTGAGAAAACCTAAACTTGGAGGGATAACGCAGGTAGCTCAAAGTCAAAGAGCTACTAGGCAAATGGCGGAACCTCTTGTTTTGTAAGATGAGATGTTTTCAACTTAGCCATGTTCTGTGAGCAATTTTATTGAGTCTGTTATGTGCAAGGCAGTGCTGGGCACTGTAAAGGATATGAGAATGCAACAGTTTTTGGCACCCAGAAGCTCATAAGTTAGTTAAAATATTACTCTTGCTGTGTTACAAGAAATAAACTAAAACATCAGAAAGTGACAGAGACAGAGAGACAGAGACATAACAGGAGGAATGGCAAGAGAGGGAGAGGGAAGGGCAGAATAAGGAAACGGGTAGGGGAATGGAAGGACGATACCCAACAGTTAAGTTTCAGTTAGATATTATATACACTTTCTCCTTTAGTCTTCCTAGCAACAGTGAGATGGACATTGTTAATTTATTTTACAAGCAAAGACACTAAAACTCAGAAAGAAGGATCAAATTAAGTCTGAGTATGCTAAAATATGGACCATCCCAGAGTCAAGGAGAGGGACTAAATTAGTAGCTCAGGGTCTAACCTTATGCATTAGTGGTTGGGAAAACCACTAACAGAGCAAAGAATCTCATGTGTGTATGCAGGAACAAGAATTTTAAATCCTTGAAAGCAGACTGGTTTTTCCCTCTAATGATCAGAGAATTCCAGACCTTTCAAATGCAACAGTCATCTGGTCTAACCCACATTTGAGGGTAGAGGAAACAAAGGGTCAAACAGAGTACTGCCCAAGGTATAAAGCAAGGAGGTAGGGACTGAAGTGGTGCCTCAGTGCTCTTGACTTCCCAGACAGGGCAGTCCACGCTTTCTAATCATCTAGTCACCCAGAGCTACGAGGGAAAGGTAGACTGACCAGGGTACAATAACAGTGGTCTCTCCTGGACTTCTGGGCTACTCTCTCTTTTGGGTTTATTTGCTCTACAAGGTCTCCAGCCAGCAAAATAAAACCAGGATGGGGAAGGCATTCAGTAGAAAAGGTTGCCGTGAATCAAAGAGTCCAAAATTTTGAAGGGATTCTCCTTTTATTCTGGCTCTCTCCAGCCTTCCAATATCAGCACTCAGATTTTAGTAATCCAAATTCTGGGGTGGTGAGGGTCAATCTAGACTTCTTCAGAGTAATTTATAGACTTGAACCCACCAGTGCCACTGGAGTGTGTAAGAGTGAAATTGAAGTATTCTCACCTGTCTGAGAATTGTCTCCTGAATCACGATGAACCTTGTGAAGCTAAAGTTGTTCAAAAGTTTGGTGAAAGAAGAGAAAGAAATTTTAAATATGGTATTAGCTACATTTCCAGTTGAACAATTTCATTAAGCAGCTCTGGAGATTCAAGAAATCAAGAAGTTACACATAATATGAACAGATGAAAGATGATAATACTACAAATGCTCTATTACATTCAGACACTTATAGAATGCCCGAGCCTGAGAGCAAGGAGATACCCAAGGGATGTACTTTCTAACTAAGACATCTACATCTCCACTCAGCTGCTTCCATTTTGACCATTGCAGAAATACAGAAAGACAAAAAGCTGTAACAAATTTTTTATAAGCCTATTTAGATTTCAGACATGTTATAAAATTATTCTGTAGGATAAAAGTCATCTGAATTTAAGCTTAGGATTTTTAAAAACCTCTCTAAAAAGCTCTTCAAGTGTTCCTCAATTATGGACAATTTACAAAATGTTTATTCACAAAGGGATATGAACTTTGGATGCAGCTTAACACCTAGTTCCTTCTCATTATCAAATTTTTTTGTGTCCTAAGGATTTTATGCTAATGCTCAATATCTGTCAAATGATCAAGTCATTAATACTAGAAAATAATAAATATGCTTTGGGATTTTGCATTTTTTCCATTTATAACTAAGACACTTATTGGGGTGCATCTAGCTATATCACGCTTATAATCATGCTCCTTTGCTGTTAAATCATCTATTTCCATTTGCTTGGACAATCAAGTCTTTGTACCTACTCAGTGAAAGGAGTAAGTTAACTTGAAAAACAAGACCGGTGACTGTGTAGTGCTAACTCTGAAGGAAGGTTAGTTTGGTTTAGCAACACCAACTGTAATAGCCAGAAGTTCCCTATATATCAGATAACAGGTACAGTGTTCCAGCTTGATGCAACCATTGAAAAATAATCACATAAAACTGAAGCGTTAAAGAAAGGGGGCTTTCTATGAATCATTCCACACAGTCCGGGCCACATAATTACAGAAATAATCACATGGCCGGCCTGTGTGAGATCTTGGTCAAAATGTGACTAAGGGCTGTGACACATTTATCCAATTATGGCACTTTGTTATTTCTTCTGTGAACAACTGTTTTATGTTTTTTCCTTTACAGATAAAGACCATTTGCTACAAAGCTAGCAAGTGCAGTGTGAATTTTTGATACTATACCAAATGAATACAACTTCTGCCTTGCAAATTGTTTTCTCAGTCAGCTTTAGCTCAAAACCAAGTAATGTTTAAATACTTAACTTTTCTCTCTGAAATCACAATACATCTCTCCTTTAGGAACAAAGTCCCGTGACTTCTCTGATTACCCCAAAAAGCCCTTGTCTTGTCTTTTGTTGACCCCCCCAGAGGCGAGCCGAATGACCTGTGGAGCTCCTACGAGGTTGACATGGGTTTTGGGTTCTGTCTAGATGGAGCCCAATGAAGCCCAAGGGCTAGGAGAAACACAGCCCAACCCTGCCTTTCAGATGGCAATGCCATGGTCCTGGCCAGGGAGAAGAGGAACAGGGGAGGAGAGGTGAGAGATACCGGGTCTCTCTGCTGAGGGAGCTTCCCATCTGCCTTTCTCCACATAGGATGTGGTATTTGGCGCTTTTGGAGCTGAACGCACTGCACCCCCTCCAAAACCACAGCCCCTGAAACATCTCATCTACCTCTGATGGATTCTCTCCTCTGGACAGGAACAGAGCCTGGAAGTAATGCCTTGATGTCACTTGCTTTACAAGCAGAGGTTTCGCAGGGCCATGTCAGCACCTGCCACCCAGGACCCTGTTTCCTGACTCACTTCCTGATCCCCTGCGGCAGGAGCAGCGCCTGAGGCCCTCTGCTGGTCACACCCCAGCTGTACTAGGTTTTCTCAGAGCTTCCGGGCTCAGGTTCTCTCCACTCCTCTTCGGAAGACCACTTCCTCCCCTGCCCCCTTTAGAACTGAGGATTCACTTGGATGAAAACAGTCTTTAACAATTCCAACTTTTTTCTTGGAGGTCTAAACCCACCAGTCATTTATAACTGGCCATGAACGATTCCATTAGAATTATTTTCTCACATTTCTCATCTGTGCTCTCTGAGGAAGTCAACAGGGAAGGCAGCTGCTCTGTAGTTGGCTGTTCTCTGGTAGGCAGCCAGGGGGGTTAACTGTGGGGCGGGGAGAGAGACGGAGGGGCTGTCCGTGACAACAGCACTGTCTCCTACGGGTCTGCCATGTGCCAGCACCTTCACATGTGCCATCAGGCTAGTCAGGACAGTACCCCTGCAAAGGAGGAAGGACAGTCATTCCTCTGACAGATGGGGAAGCTGAGGTTTCACTGGCCTGAGCCTCCCAGCTAGTACTTGACAGTGCCCAATTTCCAACCCTGATCAGCTGGCTCTAAAGCCACTTCCTCTTTGTCACACTGCTCTCTACAGGGAGGACCTAGAAGGGAAGCTCTGGACCCAGGCCTGTTAAACTGGGGTCTGAGGACAACATCCTCTGTGTGAGAGCAAGGCAGCCATTTGGAATATAATTTCTTTTGAAATTTGGGGGAAGGCTTGAATCTCTGCTATCGAGAGGTTTTGTCACATGAATGCTAAAGCAAAGCAAAGCAATCATATTTCAACGTCCCCATGTCAACCACTGTCTGCGGAGTGTTTCTGTTTGTTTTTCCTTTTGTGAAAGAAAGCTTAAAGTGCAAAATGTGTCCACATGAAGTCATGACTGGGAATTTGGATCCGTGTGTCCCTGGGGAACCCAATGCTTCCGCGCTAGTTCCTACAATGTGAATACCTTGGCCTGCACTGCTCCTGCCAGAGTTCAAAGCTGGGATTTCTTAGCAAGTCCTTAGAAGCTTACAACTTGTTTTGGGGGGGGGGAAGTAATTCATCATTTCAAACCTTTAAGTATTGAAAATGTTATAGGTTCCCACAGATGTTGCTATCCTTGTGCTAAATGCTTTGTTTACAAAAACTTGATTATGCTTGGCTCTAAAAGGCCCTACAAATTCTGGGTTTCTGTGTATGTGTGTGGGAGAGAGAGATTTCAGGATCATCTCTTTTCCTCTTCAGGAATAACCATTTCAAAATTTTATTTTCTTTACAAACCCACCACTGTCTTAAACTAAAAAATTCTGTCAAGGTTGTGGAAAAGCTGGAACTCTCACACACCCTGCTGCAGAGAACAGAAAATTGTACCATCACTCTGAAAACAGGTGTGGCGGTTGCTTGTAAAATCCAACATACACCTACCCTATGACCCAACTCCTCAGTATTCAGTTCAACTCCTAAGTATTTACCCAAGATAAACAAAAGCATATGATGTTCCCCAAAAGACTTCTCTAAGACTGTTCAAAGGAGCCCCAAACTGGAAATACCCCAGAAGTTCATTAACGAGAAAAATAAACTGTGGTCAGTTGATACAATGGAATACTATTCTATTCAGCAATAAAAAGAAAAAGGGAAAAATTACTGATATATACAACATAGATGCATCTCACAACATGGTAATGAGTCACAGAAGCCAAATGTAAAAGCGTAGACACTCTATGCAACTCTAGGACAGGCAAAACTCATCTGTGGTTCAGTATTCAGGACAGTGTTCCCTTTAGGGGTGGGAGGGGTAGGAGCAGAGTAGGGGATAACAGGCAAGGCCAGGAGAGAACTTCTGGGGTGGTAGATTCAGGACCTTCATGGGGCCTGGGTTACAGAAGTATGTGCATTTGTCAAAACTCAAGTAACGCTATACCTAAGATCTGTGCATTTCACTATATATAACTTTCACCTAAAAAATGAAAAAATCTGGAAACAAACATTAAACTCTAGTTAAAGTGCCAAGGGGTGAAATGTCCTGATATGTGTAACTTAGTTTAAAATCTATCAAAGAATAAGATGGGCTGATGAATAAATCAAGGATAGATGGACAGATAGATGATTGAGCAAAATGGTCATTACAGAAAATAGGTGGTGGCTACATGTGTATCTACTTACAATGCTTCTGACTCTTCTATAGGTTCGAAAAATTTCATTAATGTGGGGAGATTATATATTTAACTGAGAATCTGGAAGGATGGCTAAATATTGCAAGCCTGAACTATAATTTAAAAATCTGTAAATATAGGACGAAGGACACCGAGAACAACTTGAAACTGAGCAAGGTGAATTACATGTCATGGTCCCTGGGACTCCCAGCCTACCATGAGCCTGGGCATGAAAATGATGTTCCACTTCAAACCGTAACTAGTGAATTGTAAGTAGAAGCTGTCTTAGAAGCATAGATTTTACCTGCTTAACTGTTTAATAGACGGATTTTAATGTTTCACTGACTGATTTTATGTATTATATAATTACAAACGAACCTAAATTCTCTTACATTTTGTGGGAGAAAAACTCTGAGAAATAATTATATGAAAACACTCTTACTACAATATGTTAAATTAATATTTTGAAACTGTAAAACCATGAGACTTTTTAGCAGTTAAAATGAGTCAAGGCTAGGATCAGTGCAATAATTAGTAAGCAAGCAAATAAATGGTAGATAACTCCTTCAACCTTCATTTCAGAATCACCCTGGGAATGTGAACAGCATTTGGTAGAAATGTCCGAGGCTGCTTTTGTCATTATGGAATGGCCAAGTCATAAAAAGCATCCGTCTCAATTCAAATCACCAGATTTCCCAGTATATAAGCCTGGGCATCCATCTTGGATGCTTCTTTTTCTCTCATCCACAAGCCTAGTCCATCATCAAATCCAGGAAAATCTCCCTTCTCAATACCTCTGGGATCGCCCCCTTCACCTCTCTCTACTGCCAGCGTGCAGATGACCGTCAGCTCTCCTCTCACCTCAGCCCATTCTCAACTCTTCAACCAGTGTAACCTAAACCGCATTGAATCCTGTCATCCTCCTGCTTAAAACTCGCCCTTCCTATTGGTCTTAGGGTCAGCCTCTTGAGACAGACTGGCTGTGTGGCTGTGCACTGTGGCCTGGCCCCTACTGCTCCGCTGGGCTCCCATCTTGCAGGCCACACTAGCCTCCATTCCACCCTTCTAGTTTTCCCAGGCTCTTCACTACCACAGTGCCCTTACACATGTGATTCCTCTGCCTGGGAGGAACTTCCAAATCCACTCTCTTCCCTATGCCTCTTTGCCCTCTAGATCTTCACCAAAAGGTAATTTCCACAGGGAAGCCCTCCCCTCCTCAAATAAAGAAATACTTAAATTAATTAATTAATTAAATGTCAAAGTTTAAAAACAAAGAATTTTAAAAGCTGGAAGAAACAAGTAGTTACATAAAAGGGAAACCCCCATAAGACTATCAGCTGATTTTTTAGCAGAAATGTTGCAGGGAGTGGCATAATATATTCAAAGTGCTAAAAGGAAAAAACCTGCAACCCAGAATACTCTACTTGGCAAAATCATCATTCAATATTGAAGGAGAAATAGAGTTTCCCCAACAAAAAAGTTAAAGGCATTCATCACCACTAAACCTGACTTACAAGAAATGTTAAAAGGACCTCTTTAAGTGGAAAAGAAAGGGCCATAATTAGAAGAATACTATGAAAGGAAAGGAGATTCACAAAATAAAAATTTCTAAGATGTGCACGTACATAAAATGGTGAGTGGGATAGTAAAATAAAATTGTTTCAGAATGTGTTCAAACTTAAGTGACCATCACCTTAATATAGACTATTTATATACTTAGGAAAACCTGTAATAGATACAAATACATGAAAAGAGAAAGAAAGCCAAGCATAACGCTAGAGGAAATTAAAAAAAAAAAAAGGACAGAGAACAAAAGAAGAAGAAAGGAAGACTAACAGAAAAACAACGAGAAAACAACAAAATGGTAGTAAGTACTTATCAATAATTACTTTTAAATATAAATGGTCTAAGGGCTCCAATTGAAAGACATGGGTGACTGAATGGATAAAAAAGAAGAATACCCATCTACATGCTTCCTAAAAAGAGACTCACTTCAGACCTAACATATAGACTGAACAGACTGAAAAAGATGTTTCATGTAAATGGAAGTGGAAAAAAAATAAAGCCAGGGTAGCATACTTATATCAAAGTTGACTTTAAAAGAAAGACTGTAACAAAAGACAAAGGAGGGCACTACACAATGATAAAGGCATCAATTCATTAAAAGGATATAATTATGTTAAATATCTATGCACCAACAAATTCAAATATCTCTGCACCCAACAGTGAACCACCTAAATACAGAAAGCAAAAATTAACAGACATAAAGGAAGAAACTGCCAGAAATACAGTAATAGTAGGGGACTTTAAGACCTCACTTACATCTATGGATAGATCATACAACAGAAAATCAGCAAGAAAACAGTGTCTTTGAACAACACGTTATACCAGATGGACTTAACAGATATATACAGAACACTCCATCCAAAAACAGTACAGTCACATTCTTTTCAAGTGCTTATGGTACGTTCTCCAGGATAGATCACATGTTAGACCTCAGAACAAGTCTCAATAAATTTATGAACAGTGAAATAATATCTAGCCTCCTTTACAACCATGTAGTATCAAACTAGAAATCAATTACAAGAAGAAAAAAAAACCTCATAAAAGCCACAAACATGTGGAGGCTAACCCAATGAACCACCAATGAATCAACAAAGAAATCAAAGAGGAGATCAAAAAAACACCTAGGGAAACTTGAAGACAAAAACACTGGTCTAAAATCTTTGGGACATAGTGAAAGCAGTTCTAAGAGGGAAATTTATAGCAATACAGACCTATCTCTAAAAACAAGAAAAATCCTGACAATCTGACCTTACACACCTAAAGGACCTAGAAAAAGAAAAACAAATGAAACCCAAAGTTAGTAGAAAAAAGAAAATAATAAAGAGCAGAAATAAAAGAAATAGAGACAAAAAACATAATAGAAAAGATCACTGAAACCAAGAGCTGGTTCTTTGAAAAGATAACAAAATTGATAAACCTTTACCCAGACTCACTAAGAAAAAAAGAAGACCCAAGTAAGTAAAATCAGAAATGACAAAGAAGTAACAACTGATAACACAGAAATATGAGAGCTCTATTAAAAATTATATGCCAACTAACTGGACAACCTAGAAAAAAATGGATAAATTCCTAGAAACATATAATCTTCCAAAATTTAATCAGGAAGAAATGAAAATCTCAACAGATGATAGCTAGTATGAAACTGAATCATTAACCAAAAATTCCCATCAAAGAAAAGTCCAGGACCACATGGATTCACAGTGAATCTACCACAAATTTAAAGGAGTGTGAATACCTATTCTTCTCAAATTATTAGAAGGAAACAGAAGGAAAGCTTCCAAATACATATACAGGGCCAGCATTACTCTAATACCAAAACCAGACAAAGACACTAGACAAACAACAACAGAAAACAACTACAGGCCAATATCCCTGATAAACGTAGAGGCAAAAATCCTCAACAAAATATTAAACTGAATTCAACAATACATTAAAAGGATCATGCACCATGATGAAGAAGGATTTATTCTGGAGATTCTAGGATGGTTTAATACCCAGAGAAATCAATCAATGACACCACATCAACTAAGTGAAGGATAAAAATCACATGATCTTCTCAATAGATGCAGAAAAAGCATTTGACAAAATCCAACAACCATTCATGATAAAAACTCTCAACAAGGTAGATATAGAGGGAATCTCAACTTAACAAAGGCTATATATGACAAACACAATTAACATTACACTCAGTGTTGAAAACCTAAGAGTTTTACCTCTAAGATCAGAAACATGACAAGGATGTCCACTCTTACCATTTTTATTTAACATAGTAATGGAAGTCCTCACAGCCATCAGACAAGAAATAAAATGTATCTAAATGATAAGGAAGAAGTCAGACTGTCAGTATTTGCCGAGGGCATACTATACATAGAAAACCCTAAAGACTCCATCAAAAACTATTATAAGTGATGAGTGAATTCAGTAAAGTCGCAGGATACAAAATACACAAAAATCTGTTACATTTCTACACACTAATATCAAAGTAACAGAAAAAGAAATTAAGAAAATAATTCCATTAACAGTTGCATCAAAGAGAATAAAATATCTAGGACTAAATTTAACCAAGGAGATGAAAGACCTATACTCTGAAAACTGTAAGACACTGATAAAAGACAACAGAACCAAATGGAAAAGTATTCCATGCTCATGGATTGAAAGAACAATGTTAAATTGTGCATACTACCCAAGGCAATCTACAGACTCAGTGCAATCTCTATCAAATTACCAATAGCATTTTTTACAGAATTACAACAAATACTAAAATTTGTATGGAATCACGAAAGGCCCTGAATAGCCAAAGCAATCTTAAGAAACAAATCTGAAGGTATCATAATCCCAGATTTCAAGACATGCTACAAAGCTATAATAATTACAACAGTATGATAATGGCACAAAAAATAGACACCTAGGGCAAGAGACACCTAGGGCAATAGACACCTAGGGCTAAGGAAGCCCAGAAATAAACCTACACTTACATGGTTGATTAATCAAAGACAAAGGAGGCAAGAATACACAATGGGGAAAAGACAGTCTCTTCAATAAATGATGCTGAGAAAACCGGACTGTAAGGAAGCATTGTGTGTCAACTATACTTCCATAAAAACAAAATAAATATAAAAAGGGATTTAGAATGGCACATAACCTTAGCTGATAAAGACAAGGTTTGAGAGGACAGACTCTAATGTTGAAAGAAGTTCTCCTGCAGGTAAAATGCTATCAAATAGTGTTACATGCTATAGAGAAATTGTTGGTGCAAGGAAATGTCGATCACTGTGGCAAACTTCCTCGTTGTCTCATTTTAAGAAATTGACACAGCCACTTGAGCCTTCAGTGACCACCACCCTGATCAGCCATTAATACTACGGCCAGACCCTCCACCAGCAAAAAGATTACAGTGCACAGAGGATGGTTAGCAGTTTTTAGCAATGAAGTATTTTTATGAATGAAAGCCTTAACATGCGACAGGAAACCATCAAAATCTTAGAGGAGAACATAGGCAGAAACCTCCCTGACCTCAGCCACAGCAACTCCTTGTTAGACACATTACCAAAGGCAAGGGAAACAAAAGCAAAATGAACTATTGGGACTTCATCAAGATAAAAACTTCTGCACAGCAAAGGAAACAATAAACAATAAACAAAACTAAAGGCAGCCTACAGAATAGGAGAAGATATTTGCAAATGATGTATCAGATAAAGGGCTAGTATCCAGAATACATGAGGAATTTCTCAAACTCAACACCCAAAAAACAAATAACCCAGTTAAGAAATGGGCAGAAAACATGAGTAGACACTACCAAAAAAGACATCCAGATGGCTAAGAGACACATCATCTCACACCTGTCAAGATGGCTAAAATCAATAACATAAGAAACAACAGGTGTTGGCGAGGATGCGGAGAAAGGGGAACTCTCTAGCACTGTTGGTGGGAATGCAAACTGGTGCAGCCACTCTGGAAAACAGTATGGAGGTTCCTCCAAAAGTTAAAAACAGAACCACCCTATGATCCAGGAATTATACTACTAGGTATTTACTCAAAGGACACAAAAATACAGGGATACAGGCATCCTGATGTTTATAGCAGCATTATCAATAACAGCCACACTATGGAGAGAGCCCAAATGTCTATCAACTGATGAACAGATAAAGAAGATGTGATATATATATATATACACACACACAATATTACTATATACTATATACAATATACAATAGAATATATATGTATATACATATACACACACACATACACAATAGAACATTACTCAGCCATCAAAAAGAATGAAATCTTGCCATTTGCAATGACATGGATGGAGCTAGAGTCTATCATGCTAAGTTAAGTAAGTCGATCAGAGAAAGACGTAAATACCATATGATTTCACTCCTATGTGGAATTTAAGAAAGAAAACAGATGATCATATGGAAATGGGGTAAAGAAAAAAAGGAGAGAAGGAATCAAGCCATGAGAAACTCTTAATGATAAAAAACCAACAGAGAGTTGATGGAGTGAGGTGGGGGGAGGGGCTAGAGGGGTGATGGGCATTCAGGAGGGCACTTGTTAGGATGAGCACTGGGTGTTGTATGTAAGTGATGAATCATTGAATTCTACTCCAGAAACCTGTACTGCACTGTATGTTAACTACCTAAAATTTAAATAAATAAATAAAGTATTTTTAAATTAAGGTATGTACATTGCTTTTTATTTATTTTATTTTTAAGATTTTTATTTATTTATTGAGAGAGAGTGGTAGAGAGAGAGCATGAGAGGGAGGAAGGTCAGAGGGAGAAGCAGACTCCCTGCTGAGCAGGGAGCCCGATGCAGGACTCGATCCTGGGACTCCAGGATCATGACCTGAGCCGAAGGCAGTTGCTTAACCAACTGAGCCACCCAGGTGCCCTGTACATTGCTTTTTAGACATAATGCTACTACAGAGTTAAGAGACAACAGTATAGTATAAACATAAATTTTATATGCGCTGGGAGACCCACTACTTCATTTCACTTGCCTTATTGAGATAGTCACTTCATCGCAGTGATCTGGAGCCAAGCCTGTAGTGTCTCCAAAGTATGCCTGTATATTGTTTTTGTGTCACCCTTACCCCCAAATATTATGAAAAGGGGTAAAACTCCAGGTTCAATGAAGACAAGTACTATTCTCTAAAATAATTAGTGTTGCTTGCAAAGTCAACGTATTAAGA